TATATATTTATCATCATAATGATTTACATATATTAGGTAAATATTTGTATTTATTTCTTCACGAATATTCGAATTTTTATCAAACATCGTTTAACTTCCAAAATTGTGTCACACAAAATATCGCAGACACATTTAAAAACTAACCAACACTACACAGCAAAAGTTCAGTCATCTAAGTAGACCGGAACTAGTTCCGTGCCAACAGTTGAGTTGATCTGGTTCTGGATGATACGACAAAAACTTCCTTCAATCGCAGCTGTCAAGGCAATTGGAAAAGGTCTACGAATTGTTGAATTTAAATTTAATTTGTCTCAAAATGGAGCAGCCTGAAAATGGAAATTCTGTCGAAATACAGCCGAGCCCGCTTATAAAGGAAGTGTTGGGCATTAAGTACTTTGTAAACAAGTTCTATTATCTCATGGCATTGGAAAATGAAGCGACTCTACTTATTCCATCTGAAGTGGCCCAAGAGATATGCCCCCAGCAAATCATCAACTTCTTTACGAATGAATGTGAACTGGTGAATAATCAAATCATTATACCACAGGAGTACAACTTAGGTATAACAGTTATATATAAATATAGAATACATACATGTACTAATCCTATTTATATTTGAAGATACCTAAGTTTGAACTGAAGCACTGCTTAACCTCACTTTAGCTGTCTTGAAGAAAGCAAAACAAAAAAACCCATACAAAATGTAATTACGCTGTGTAACAAGATACTTGTTTCATTAAAACAGCCTCGTCTTGAACAATGTTAAAATAAAATCTATTTCAAAATCGAACAAAGCAAATGTCCACAGACCAAAGGAGAGATTTGTATTGATTGAATGAGTACTATGTGCCAAAAAATTTTGTTGCATAGTGTAAGTGTATGGCCCAACTGAAGCGACTGTCATAAATCAATTGTTACTCAATGAGCCATATAATGGCCATAGCTGACATCTAGCTGCAGGTGCGAAAAGAGAGAGAGAGAGTGTGTGTGTGTTTGTGGAAGAGCGATAGACATAGAGCTCAATGCTATTTGGTACTCACAAGTTTTGATACGCCTCGATGGCTCATTAGATAACGCGACCTTGTCGCCAAGTGCTGTCAGTGCCTTATCGTTAATCATTGACGTCCTTGCCGCTGTCGTCGCCAGCTGCCGCTTGTCAACAACTGGCGCCGTGTGGAAGCTTAAGTGATTGCCACTGCCGGCTCCTCCGGCTGCTGCTGCTGCTCCTTCTGCATTGCCTGCATTTAATTTATCAGCAGCTCGAGCTGAGTCGCCGGCAACATCAACGCCAGCTGACGTTGCGCCTGGGTAAACTTTGTCAACGTTAGTCGTGCAGTGCGACCTATCGACTTCATTGCTTATTTCCGTATCCTGCTGCTCCTGCTGCTGCTGCTCGTGTTGCTCTTGCTCCTGCTGCTCCTGCTCCTCCTGCTGCGTCTGCTGTGCATAGTGCGCAATGCGTTCGACCGAGCCCGCATACATCTCCATATCGGCCAAAAGTTTTACAACCCAATTAAGGTAAATCGGCACCAACAACGTGTAGTTTATGGCCAGGCCGACCAGCGAGGGCGTCGGCGTCAACTCCTTGGAGCTGGCGCCTTTATTGATGGCATAAGTTCCTGCCATCTCCGGCGTCCTGCCACTTGCCAGCTCCGCCTCAGCCTCCCTCACATAGCGGCTGCAACTGACGCTTGCCGTTGCCAGTGCCGTTACGATGGCCACAAAAACAATGCAGCCACCCAGGTAATCCTGCAATAAACAGAGACAGTCAAAAAGCAAACGAGACAGAGACAGACTGAGCAAGCGAGAGAGAGAGAGAGAGAGAGAGAGAGCAGCTAGCTCTCTGCGCTAGCATGATGCATGCTTGTTAGTGTTGGCATTTTGGTAAAGATTTTTTCCACATGACTTTTTAATCAGCCCGCGTGTGCGTGTTTGTGCTTTTCTATGCTCGCCCATGATATGCAAAAGAGCTTATTGGCTCTACGGAATGTCTAAGTTATGTCTTCGAATATGATCCGGATGTATTTTAAAAATTCTCTTGAAATTTAAAATCTATACTGAAGAATTTGAAGGTTTTTGGATGAATTCTACTGTGAGTCCGACAATCTAAATTATTTAAATATTTAAATATAATACAATATCAATGGCAATATAAAAGTATAATAGACTGAGATG